ATCAATGCTATCATTAAAATAATTTATAAAGGAAATGGCAGTGTTTTTTTTATATTTTAGAAAAAAAAATCAGCCATATGAGTTTATTCAGATGTAATAAAGAAATGTCAATAGATAGTTCTATGGAAATCGAAGTGTACCCACAAATCACAAGAGGTAGTTCTATGGAATTGGAATAGAATGGTACCTAAAAATCTGTCACGGTTAACGGGTAGTTCTATTGAATTGGGACGGTACCTTCAAATTGTAAGAGGTAGTTCTATGAAATTAGAATGGTACCTAAAAAATCGTAAGAGGCAATTCTATAAACATAGAATGAAAAAAATTTAGTTCTATGTAAATTGGATGGTGCCAACAATTCAAAAGAGGTAGTTCTATAAAATAAGGACGGTACCTACAAATCATAAAAGGTAGTTCTATGAAATTAGAACGGTACCTATAACAATTTTTGGTTGCAGGTAATCCCAAAGGCATGTCGCAATTACCGGCAATGGAGCCCTTGGATTGTGAGGGTGAACCAGCTTCAATTGGCTTACGTTGGGAAAAGTGGAAGCGAGGTCTAACATTATACCTCGTGGCAACAAATATTACTGCTCCAGAGGCAAAGAAGGCAACGCTTTTGCATACGGGTGGATTACCTTTGCAAGAGATTTATTACAACATACCCGAAACAACAGCTGATGATGTTGACGTGTTTACTGCTGCTGTCGAAAAATTAGATAAATATTTCTCTCCTAAACAAAGCCGTGTTTTCGAACGCCATCTTTTTAGGCTCATTAAGCAAGAGGCAGGAGAGAAGTTTGAGAAATTTCTCATTAGACTGAGACACCAGTGTTCTAAGTGCCGGTTCGAGTCCCCTGAAGAGCAATTGATTGATCAGATTACTGAGAAATGCAAATCAGTTGATTTACGGAGGAAAATTTTAACTCTCGGGGATGAGGTTACACTCGACAAAATCGTAGGTGCAACAAAAAAATTTAAAGGAAAAACCAAGCACGAGGAAATAGATTACATCTTTCATGTGGATGGCGATGAGTCCATTACATGCTCGCTTGGAAATGTAGATGTTGATATGCTTATAGATTCAGGTAGTAAATGTAATATTATTACCGAAGTTACATGGCAGGTTCTCAAGACTAAGGGGGTTCAAGTAGAAAATCAAATTAAAAATCCGGATAAGAAATTCATGCCTACGGTAGTCAACATCCGTTAACAGTTCTCGGAAGTTTTGATTCTACTATAAAGGTTGAAAATGGGTCTAAGTTGGACAAAGTAACATTCTATGTAATAAAAAATGGCACAAGAAATTTGCTCGGGAAAGACACTGCGACTAAACTTGGTGTTTTAAGATTAGGTCTAGGAATAAAGGCGATTGAAGGTACGTTCCCTAAAATTAAAGATGTACAAATTCATATTCCTATAGATAAATCCGTAAAGCCAGTTTCTCAACCATGCCGCCGGGTCCCAGTCCCCTTAGAGACTAAAATAAATAAAAAAATCCAAGAACTCATTGAAACAGATATAATAGAGCATGTCAATGGGCCATCAGACTGGATCTCCCCTTTGGTACCCGTTCTCAAAAGCGATGGAGATATTCGAATTTGTGTAGACATGAGGCAAGCCAATCGGGCTATTATTAGAGAAAAACATCCTTTGCCTACTATGGAACAGCTAATGCCAAGGTTTCGAAACGCTAAGCTGTTTTCTAAATTAGATTTAAAAAATTCATTTCATCAATTAGAATTAAGCGAAGATAGCAGGCATATTACAACTTTCTTGTAGTCAGGGTCTATTCAGATACAAACGTCTCATGTTTGGCATCTCATGCGCTCCTGAATGTTTCCAAAAAAATTTAGAAAGATTGTTATTACCGTGTGAAGGCGTGGTCAACTTTATTGATGACATTGTCGTATTTGGCAGTACGGAGGCCGAACATGAGACGAGGCTAAAAAAAGTCTTGCTGGTCTTAAAGCAAAATAATGTCTTACTAAATGATGCCAAGTGTTGTTATGGTGTAAAATGCATAGAGTTTCTAGGACATCAATTATCATCTGAAGGAGTCAAACCTCTTGATAAATATGTAAAAACAATCGAATCATTCCGTGAGCCGATTCTGGTCGAAGAGGTTCAAAGTTTTTTAGGCTTGGTTAATTATGTAGGTAAGTGGATCCCTAATTTAGCGACATGGACTGAACCCTTACGCGAATTTTTAAAATTAAAACTAGGCAAAGGTGCGGATATTACTTCCCACTGGCGCAATAACCAAAAAGAAGCGTTTAATTCTTTGAAACGCGCGATAACTCAAATTAGGTCTTTGGGGTACTACGATCCACTCGATAGGACTCAAGTTTTTGCTGACGCTAGCCCAGTCGGGTTAGGAGCCGTGCTTGTTCAGCATGGAGCAACTGGACCTCGGATTATTGCGTTCGGAAACAAAAGTTTGACAGACAGGGAAAAACGTTACTGTCAGACTGAGAAAGAGGCACTCGCATTAGTCTGGGCCGTTGAACATTTTAATATGTATTTATTTGGTAAAGATAGTTTCGAATTAGTCAGTGACCATAAGCCCTTGGAAGTTATTTTCGGTACTAGTTCGAAACCTTGTGCTCGAATAGAACGTTGGGTGTTACGCTTACAATCATATAACTATAAAATGGTTTTCAGCCCCGGTAAGCAAAATATTGCTGATTCTCTGTCGCGGTTAAGTTGTAATGTCCGACCATCACAGCCGTTTGATGAAGAAAATTATATTAATCTGGTGATTGACCAGTTACGCCCCAGGGCAATTTCTCTAGGTGAGCTGAAATAAGGTTGTGAGGGAGACCGTGAATTAGAATTAGTTAGAAACGGCGTTTATCAGAATAACTGGGATCAGAGTGTCAAAAGTTGCAAGATCTTTGAAAATGAACTATGTTTTCAAGATAATATACTTTTACGAGGAAATAAAATTGTAATTCTGTCTAAATTAAGGTCGAAAGTTCTTGCAGCTGCTCATGAGGGTCACCCTGGGATTGTGGCTATGAAAACACGACTACGTACCAAAGTATGGTGGCCGAAAATCGATGCGGACGCAGAACGCTATGTAAGATCTTGTAAAGGTTGCACTCTGGTGTCTGCACCGAATCCTCCAAATCCTATGCGCAGACGGCAACTACCAAGTCAACCTTGGATTGACGTTGCTGTTGATTTCTTGGGGCCATTACCTAGTGGCCATCATCTTTTTGTGATTGTTGACTATTTTAGTCGTTATATAGAAATAAAAATTACTTAGACTATAGATTCATTATATACCATTAACACACTTAAAGAAATATTTTCACGTTTAGGTGCGCCAGTAAGTATTACGGCTGATAATATACGACAATTTACCAGTTCAGCATTCGTAAATTTTTGTAATGAATATGGCATACGTCTGTTCCATAGTATCCCTTATTGACCTCAACAAAACGGTGAAGTCGAAAGGCAAAATCGAAACATTTTAAAGAGATTGCAAATAAGCCAAAATCAAAGATCAAACTGGCAGGATGATTTACTTCAATATTTGACTATGTATAATAGCACTCCCCATTCCGTTACAGGAAAAACTCCTGCTGAACTTTTTTACAAACGTCAATTTAGGGACAAGTTACCTTCAGTCGTAGATGTCGAGTTTTCGGAGATAGATTCGGAAATTAGGGATAGAGATGCGGAAGCGAAAGCAAAAGGAAAAGAGTACGCAGACAGGAAGAGACATGCAGCCGAATCCACTATTCAAGTTGGTGAAAAGGTATACGTGAAAAATATGACAAAGGACAATAAACTAAGTACCACATTTAATGACGAACCACACACTGTACTTAATAAGGAAAGAAACGACGTAGAACTGCAAAATGATAATAGTGGACAGCGACTACGGCGAAACGTAGTTCACCTAAAGCGCGTCGAAGGGCAGTGGAAAGTTGCAGATTGTCCAGAAGATTCTACTGAGATTCATGAATAGAAATTAAAATTATGTTGATTATTGTGGTTTAGAATACGTGTTAATGTGATTGTATTTGATTATAATTAGATGAGAATATTCTTAATAAGTTAAGCTAACCTGTTTTATTTTGTTTTGTAAAAGGTAGATGTAGTGTATAGATATGGCAACACAAATACAATGTACTGCATGCGAAATGTCACTGGGACATTGCTATCAAGGCCCGAAGCGGTAATCGGTTATGCGCACGATTAATGGTGATAAATTGATATATCGGAGTGTAACTGAACCTGTACATATTACATAAGGCTTTTTAGGAATAAGATGGTTAGTTTACTAACCACCATGGCGGTAGGCAAGAAAAATAATCAAACAGTAGTGAGGAAATAAAAATAACAGCCTAAATAAATGAATAATTTATTTCTTGTGAAAATCTAAGTAGCATGTTTTATCTTTACGGATGCAAAGAGGGACTTTTAATGTGCTGCATTGCTATACAGTTCGAGCCGGACTTTTTTAGTGCTGCATTTCGCGCATCTTCGTGAAGTAGTTCGCTCTGGCTGATGCATATTGCTTTCCGTTCGCAATTCTGTTGGAACGGATGGCTTGTGGCGTTTTATTAAGACTGGTAGTGGAGAAGACGATACAGAGCTATTGATGGAACGTCTAGAGTTTGGCTTTCGGTTCTTCGCCTAAGCAGGTGCTAGAATCCCTTGGTACACACTTCTACGAAAGTCTTTTGTGTCCAATTTCTCCAATTCTTGGTAGTGTTCTTTCTGAGGCTCTTTATACAATAAAAAGGAATTTATGATAGCGCAGTCCAGAAAGTGGAAAAAAATTCAAGGGCTCGTGGAGCAGGAGAATAGACGCCTCAACTCTTCGAGAGGCCTCAACTATTGCTTTTGTAGCCGCGAAGCCCCTGCCGAAATTGGCCTGCACAACGCATATCACCCCCGACCGACCACCGCGAGAGGACACCTGGAGAACATCAGCAAAACACTACGGCCGATCTAGCCAGGCTGCCCGCTCTTCGCCAGTCAGGTCACTCCGGCGGGGTGAGAGGTGTCTCCAGAATTAGATACGCCGCAGTTGGCGCACTTTGGGGCCACTCTCTGGTATCATGAGGGTCTCCGCAGTATCCGCACGTGGGCTGCTCGGCGCTACAAGAGGTGGCCAGGTGACCAAATCCCAGACAACGGTAGCACTGGGTTACCGGGGACTGGCCTACTGCGGGAACCATCTGGTACCCCACTCTGACCTTCTTGTCTATAAGCGCCGCCCACGTCTTCGGATCGATCTCAAGAATGACCCCAGAGTGTGCCCCTATCCTGCCTCTCACTCTTCTGTCTACCCTGGCCCTCCTTTCGCCCTCAGGTACCCCCTCCAGCAGGCCAGCGTTCTGGGTATCTATCGACTCCAGGACCTGAGCATCTGTCACGTCACGGGCCACCCCCAACAACTGGAAAAGCGGCCTCTGGGGCGCAGCGGTGGCCGGGAGGCCAAGCCCGGAATCCGCGATCTCCCCCCTTGAATCGGTCCCGCTCATCCAGCGACTGGCAGCCAACCAACGCTCTCTTGCCCCTTAACTTTCTGAGCCTGTTGAGCCCGACATCCAGCTTTACGACGTCTACTCCAGCTTTAAGCGTCTTTATAATTTCGTCCTGGGGTCGACAGACTGAAGGAAAAGGCTGAAGGAGGGCTCCGAGGGGATGGCCGCCCCTCCGGACGGTGAGTCCACCTCAACAGAGTCAATCCGAGAGCTGAGGCGCAGGCCCCAGACGGAACCGGCGCAGCCCTGGCCACCTCCGCGTACGTGGCCACCTTCCTGTTTAAATCCCTGGTTTGGGTCTCAACAGAGCCTAACTTGTTATAGGCTCTATGAGCTCCTCCAGCGCCTGGCGCATTTCGCTCAAAGCCATTTCTATGTCGAGTCTGGCTGCGGGGTTCTGGGGCATGTGTGCCGCCAGCGAAAAGCCGCGGATTTCCGTCACCTCCTCCCTGAGCTGCCGGAGGAGGCCCATGACCGGACTATAGATGTGAAGCAGGTTATTAACGATTTTAACCGTGCGGTTAAATATGCATTTTTCGTTATTAACGGTTAATTAACCGCATTTTATGCTTATTACGGTTAAATACCACCGCTAGATGCCGCTAGCGGCTTGAAAGTGTATTGCGATTATTTGCGATGCCAGTTTCAACTGGCGCGCAGCAAGAGGGTGGGCGGGCGGCGGAGGGGGAGGAAGTAGCGCCTGCCCAGCCAGGACGGGCGATCGTAGCCAGTTAGTATAGCGAGAAGGAGCGCTGAGTAAACTACTTTGTTGCCTAATTTAAGTAAATAGTGTATAATTTGACCATCGCGATGTCTATTGGTAAGTATTTACCCTATATTGAGTTATTATTCCACAATAGTATAGCAAACGAATATCTAAACAGGTAGTAGGTATTATCAGACAGATTTGTGTTAATATATGTGTTACAGTTATAGTGTAGGTAACTTTATATTTATAACTTATATCTTATATGGTATACTGTATAATAATATGGATTCCTAATACACACATCAAAAGTGTCTAGGGATCAACATATATTTTTGCAATAACTTTTCTCCTGATTGATATTAATTAAAATTTTCTTTAAGGATTCATCAAATAAAGTGTTTTCGTTTGTCACAGTAACGATAAACCAAGTCACCTTTGCATTAATAAAGAAATTTGCCATTTTCCTAATAAAGGGATTTTTGACATTTGAACCACTAACACAAAAGTTCGAAAAAAAGACTGAAATAACAGTTTTCTCTAAAATTTTATTGGGTAACTTAAACAATTAATAATCCGTATTTCTACCGCGAACACTAACAACACAAGAACATCGGTTTGGCATACTCAAAATGAGTTCATCCAAATCACGCTGTGGAATGGCCGCCCATGTTCGTTGCAACAACAAAAAAAGGTCTTCTTGCGACTGGATACCCTCCATATTCGGCAGAGCTCTTCTCTGTAGCATATCCCATGCATGCTCAATCGGGTTCAAGTCTGGCGACTGAGCAGGCCAGGGCAGGACATTGATGTTAGCTGCGGCGAGAGTCTGTCTTACAACTCTTGCGGTGTGCGGTCGTGCATTATCATGCATTAACTGAAATAAGGGACCGATTTGCACTTGTAGAGGAACGATGACGTCTGATACAATCGTCTCAGCATAAATTTGAGCGTTGAGGTTGCCTCTGATCCAAATCAACTCAGTTCTTCCGCCGATCCAAATACCCGCCCATACCATGATGGTTCCACCACTATAAGGATGGACTTCCTGGCAGGATTTTAATCGCTGTTGGCGTCCAGGGGTTCTCCAGTGTCGTATACGTCTTGTATCCGGTCTCATACCAAAACGAGACTCATCAGAAAAGCACACGAAACGCCATTGTTCTTCTGCCCAATTTCTGTGTTCAAGAGCCCATTGATATCGAATCCTACGATTGTGCATTGCTATAGGTGGTACCCGTAGCGGTCTTCGGGAATGAAGGTTCACTTCATGCAAGCGGTTTCTGACTGTTTGGTCGCTAATTAAGTTCCCTGAAGAGTGATGAAGCCTCACGGCTAACATCATGGCGGTTATTGTTGGAGCTCTTCGAGTTAAGATTTGAATGTATCGGTCTTGTCTCCGTGTGGTGCAGCGATACCGTCCTCCATGGCGCTCAGCCACGGTACCAGTGCTTCGGTATCGTGTCCAAAGTCGACTGATAACACTCTGACTTGTATTCAGAGCTAAAGCCACAGTACGTTGCTGGGAACCAGCTTCTATCATTCCCACGGCTCTGAGCATTTCTTCCCTGCTTAAATGACGTCGCCGCTCCATAATAACGTTGGTTTTAATCAGTAGTAGGGAAACAGTAGCACTAATAATGTCTTCAATGCGTTGTATGTTTTTATAGGGAAAATATTGACAGCTGATTTTCATCTTTTACTCGAATTTGATTCACAGTTCCTGATTCAAATTATGAAATGCACCAAAAAGGATCCATATAAATTTATAAAATCATAAATTTATTACAAAGCCACATCTGAATCTCAAGAAATCCGCATAAAAATGCTTGATCCCTAGACACTTTTGATGTGTGTAGTTAAAAATACGATAATTTGTGCCATACCAAGATAGAAACGAATACGTATGACACTAAAATAATTTTATTTGAAAATGCACACCGAGCGCTATACTAATATTATAAAGGTGAAGAGTTTCGTTTGTATGAACGCGCTTATTTAAGGAACTACTGCCGTGGTAGCATGAGGCATGTGACAGGCGTGAGATGTGACATGTGTCACATCTAAACATCAAAACTCCATACGTTTTGACGTTTAGATGTGATACATGTCACGCACGTCTCACGCCTGTCACATGCCTCGTGCTACCACGGCTTGCTTTGATTTTTTTGTTTTCTGTGTTTACTTCAACTATTTTCTTTTTCAGGTAATGTTACTATACCAGAATCTGACTCCGAATCAGATGTAGAAAAAGTCGAAGCATCAGAGAATTTATTTACCGAAAACACTGACAATATAGCTTTCAAGAAAATTAAATTATTCATTACTGATGATGACCTTTCTACACATTGCGGGAGTCCCCACAGTCAAGTACCGGAGTGACATGAGCAGAATGCTCAGACGTGGTCTGATGAAGAACTCGACATCCAGTCTGAAATGCCTAGGTTGCAAAAACAATTCAAAGATGCGTCCGTCATGACAACATTACCATTTTCCATCGAAATCGATGAAAACACAAGGATAAGCAACCTAATGTTTTGCAAGTTTATTGCACATGAATTGGACAAATACGAAGGCAATGACCGATTTGATTTGATGCAAAAAATTTTAGAAGTTTTAAAAAGGAAGAAATAAAAATATTATTACATAAAAGTAATATTAAATACTGTGATTTAAAAGTTCCTGATAAATAAAAGTAGAAGTAAATAAAAAATATGTATGTTAATTATTATTGTATTATTAAGGCATAAAAAATATTGTGAAGTTGAATACACTGTGATTATAACAAATTATTGATTTTTTATTTTTAAATCAAGTACATCGACGATGAAGTGTAATGTCCTATCTTATAAAAAAATGTTTTAGAGGAAAAGAGAAAAAGACGGTTCTATTTGTTCCACGGAAGTATCAAATTAATGAATAGGTAATGTTTATAAGTATTGTGAATTCATTGTCATCTTCCAGTCTAGTCTAGTTAGATAGTCAAGGTATTGCATGCGAAACCGTATTTTAAATTCAACACATTATGAATCAAACAATTAGAAAATGTCAGTTAGGGAGCTCATTACACTTCATTGTCGATATTACAAAAGGGGATCCCATTCTGTGATCTCGCCTTCATTATCAGTATCACTAATATCGTCGCTGTCTTGATCTGATAAATCAGAAACTGTGACAGTATCTGCGATTTCTCTTCGAAATAAGTTTAAATTGGCCCGAATGGACATTAATTTCACGGTTCTTGAATTATGTAGCCGGTTCCTAATTTTGGTATGCGTTCTTGAAAAAAGACTCCAATTACGTTCCGATGCAGCAGATGATGGGGGCACACTCAGAATTTTGATGGCTATTTTAGCAATGTCTAAGTTTGAAGCAAAAGTTTTCCACCATATTCGGGGTTCCAACTCTTTCACTGGAGCCCAAATTGCTTTGTTTTCATCAAAAAAATTCTCCTTTACCTTAAATTCTGCCATTTCTTTAAGTACTTTGGCATATTCAATGCCTGCTGTTATTGAAACTTGTTGTAAATATTCTGCAACCGTACTTATCTCCTCATCACTTAGACAAACGCCGCAATAACGTGGATCAAGTTGGTGTGCCGCGTAGTGAATGGGCTTCATACAAAATTCTTTTCTTTTTTGGATAGTTGACAATATCACATTTTTGTCTGCTTCACTTATAAACGCTGCTGTTTCCAATTCGGTGGTTAACTCTTGGCTCAATGAATTGAAAATAAAAGGCACATCTGAAAGTAGAGCAGTATTTTTTTCAGATATCAAAATAGCCTTGGCCATTGGTTCGAGGACTTTAACCACCTCGTCAACTTTTCAAATGATGGCAGTATAACGTGAGCCTTTTTTATGTATCGGATAACTGTGACGACATTGCGTAGGACATTCTCAAAAAGAGTTATTTTAAAAACATCTTTATAGATTAAATTTAAAGCATGACTTACGCATCCTACGCAAGCGATGTGAGGGTATTTATCTTTTACAATCGCCCAAGATGCCTTCATATTAGCGGCATTATCAGTTATTACGGCAACGAATTTCGCGAGGCCAACTTCATTAATGACTTCGATCATTTTCTCACTCAAAAATTGACCAGTTTCTCTTTGAGTTTCAGGGTATACGGCATTGTAGAAAATTTGTTTCGGCGTTGTAATTATAAAGTTAAGCACCCCTTTACCAACAACGTTTGTCCATCCATCACAAATAAGACCGAGAGCCATAGATTTCGTAAGAATATCATCAATTTCCTTTCTGATTCGCATGTACTCACTTTCTAAAAG